CTTTAGCGATAATAATGCTAGGTTTTGTCGAAGGAAAATAGAATCGTTAAAAGCGAAGCGTTGCCCGAGTTTGGAATCATCACTTTAACAAGTGAGTGCATAGTTACTTTCATATTACATATAGATATGAAGTATTTTATATAAATTACGTGTTATGTGTGCATATTATCTGTATACTTGCTATCTATGCTGGATGAACGATTTTATACAAGTTTTATATGATTTAAACTGTATATGTATTTATATCTACATAATATGTTGGGTAAAACATGGGTAGATGAAATATGAGTTGGATGATGAGTTGAGAGGTGATATAGACCATGAGGTAAGGGTGAGAGGAGTTGAGAGGTGATATAGACCATGAGGTAAGGGTGAGAGGTGGACGATGTGAGAAACCTTTTTCCCAAATGATGTCCCCGTCATCTAGCAGAGTATGGATGACAACCACGGACTATTCTAGACAGTCCAGTGGAACACTAGCAGGCTCGCAACCTGTAGGTGTTGTGAACGATGTGTTCACCCGATGTACTCTAAACCTTGGCGATCATGCAGACTTGGTGCCTAAACCTTGGCGATCATGCAGACTTGGTGCCAAAACCCTGGCAACTATGCGGACTTAGTGCCTGTTGTATAAACCCTCGCGACTATACAGACTTAGTGCCTAAACCCTGGCGACTATGCGGACTTTGTGCCTGTTGTATAAACCCTGACGACTATGCAGACTTAGTGCCTAAACCCTGGTGACTATGCGGACTTAGTGCCTGTTGTATAAACCCTGGCGACTATGCAGACTTCGTGCCTAAACCCCCGGTGACGATGGACTTCGTGCCGATTCCTTAGGATGATCCTTAAGAATGAATGAACGAGGAATATTTGATTCTTATGGTAGATCCTTAAGAGTAAAGAAGATAATGGGGATGGGTAATTGGGTTGATTGTTTGATGTTTAAACATAATAATTATATTATTGTGGGTTGAAAACCCTATGTACTCACCAGGTTTCCCAACCTGACCCACTCAGTTTATTTGTATCACAGGTGTCGATATGAAGTTACATTACACTGAGAGATTTAAAAGAGATGTAGATCACTAGTGTAAATGAATGTAAGTTTTGTTTATGCTTATGTTTCTGTATTGACGATGACATCCCAAATGTTTTAAAAATGAATAAAAATACATTTCTTCGGAAATGCTTTGATAACGTATTTATCATGTTTTTCTGGGAACAAATTCCGCAACATTTTTATTAAAAGAGTTACTCTGATTTTTATAAAGCATAAACAAAATCGGTCTTTTCTGGCCTTGAAAATGGGGATGTCACATTATCCACCTCCTTTGGTTATCCATATATGTTAAGATATTATAGAAATTCTAGAATAATCTTATATATATATATATATATATATATATATATATATAATCATCCACCACCTTCCTAAGGAAGGTTCTGCACCCTTTTGTTCAACTATTGAACAATTACACTTTTAGTCCCTGCACTTTTAATTAATTTCCTTTAATCCTAAAATTAATTTTTGATTAAATATTAATTAATAATATGATTACTAATTAATATATTATTTCCATAACATATTAATAAATCATTTATTCCAATTTATTAATCAAATTAATAAATTCTTCCTCTTCATCAATTAATCATCCTGTCAAGTTGCAAGTGTGAAGGCTACCCAAAAGGATCATGCCACTATCAATTCAAGTACATACCAATTATAGTTATGGGCTTAGACACCTAATCCAACAATTATATGGTGATTAAATAATGGTGAATTATTTATATTGAGGAGTATGATACCATAGAAAATTAGTTTATTATTGTGTTTAATTCTATGTGTTTCTTCCTGACTGGTTAATTTACTCGAAACGCCACAGTTGGTCATACTTTTAGGAAGAGAGTAATGATTTAAGATTGTCATGGAGTATTAGTAGATTGTCCACTGTGATTGGACATGACATAGAAGTTTTTGCTATACTCATAAGTGCTTAGATGAAATTTTAAGTATTGGATAAACCCATGCTTAGATATTACTTCATGGATTCTATCATGAGTAATTATATGACGATAATATATTCTATTCTTGAAACGGAGATATGTAAGTTATAGTTTGCAAATATGTATGCATTGGTTTTGCATCGCATCCATAACTGGAAGTTGTAAAATATAATTCCATGTATGTCATGATGAGTAAAGGTTATAATATATAGTCAAAGTTTGTTCGTTCCTTTTTCCTTAACAGGAAAACGATATATTTGGAAGCCTCAGTGATTTGATGTTGACATTCATGTGCCAGGCCTAGCCCAGACTAAATTGATGTGTTCAACTTGTAGTCTAAATTTAGTCATCATAATCGGAAATCGAGAAACATAATTTTGGACTATGAGATTGAGATGTATCCATGTCTCGTGTCCACATGAGATTGAGAAACATAATTATGGTTTCATATTTTGACCCCAAATGTTTCTTATTTCATACTTTAGCCACCAAACTTTCTTATATTGGCAGATTTGATCCCTAATAGTATAGTTTTGTAGTTTCATATTTTGGTTATAAAACTTTCTTATTTCATACTTTGGCCACATAACTTCATTATGTTGGCAGATTTGATCCCTAAATCTCGTATATTGGCACTTTTCACCCTTTACTTTGTAGAATGACACTTTCCACCCTGAATTTTTGGATTTCAGACTTTGGCCAAAAGTTTTTCGTGTATTGTCAAGTTTGGTAAGTACACTTTCGTATATTGTCAGGTTTGGTCCCTAGACTTTTTGAGTTTCAGACTTTGGCCACAACACTATTATATATTGATATCTTCATCCCTAAACTTTTATATTTGGCAGATTTGGTCTCCGAAAAAACAATAGTTTCAGACCAAAACAAAACTTAACTATTGTATTTCATGCGGAATATATGAATTCGTTTTAAGAGAAATTCCAACTCATTTAATTGGGCCTGTGTCTGGGCTTGGTCAGTGGTCTGGATTCTGAAATCTGAATTCGGACAAAACAAATTACGGAAAAAGTAAAAAATTGTGGTTCCTGGTTCGGTTTAAGACAGAGGAGAGAGAAGAGAGAAGAGAGAGAAAAGGAAGAGAAAGAGAGAACAAGGCAGAGACGGAAAACTACGTTCGACAATTCAAAGTTGCAAAACCTAATCGATCCAAAAAGGATACCTAAAGATCGAATCACAAAACCCTAACAAATCATCAATCCTGTTTTCGCCCCTCACTTCCCCCATTTCGATTGAACCCTAACGGTGGTAAGTCAATTGATTCATTTCATCAATTTTTTTGTCTTTCAATGGTGCTTTAACGTGTTCCAATATGAAATTGTCAACAATTCGAAGATATGTATGTGTTTTATCGGTCAATTCTGGAATTTTGTATTGAAATGTTGTAAAGTATCGAAATTTGAATTCATCTTAGATGCGGGTATAATAAACTGGTTTAAGGAATCCGGAAGCGAGGGTTGTTAAATGAATTATAAATTTTGTGGTGTTTTCAACGCTAGTGGATTGAAATTTATATCTAACCTATGTCTTTGTAAAACGTTGAAAATTAGAGGACAAGTATATATCTTTTAACAGCTACAATGTTAAATTAGGTTTGCCTTTAGGTTAATTCTTTCTTCTGAGAAGCTTAAGCAGTTGCAAATCTCACAATAACATATCATTTCCCCCTTTTGGCATGTTTAAGTCTTGTTGCTAGCTTTCAATAATGTTTTTGTTGGCTCATGTAATTGAGAAAGCAATAGATTGTGGTTCTTCCATTGCATTGGGCTGGGTTTATGAAATCAGATGTTAGGGTTGCTGATGGGATCTTTTTGAGTAATGACTTTTAGTTCTTTAACTGCTCATTGGTTACCTCCATTTTGAGTAATTTGTGGTAGAATTATAAATGTCTCTGTATGATAATTATTGTTGTTGGCTTGTGTCTTGTATATGACTGTTATGCCTATCATTTGTTGAGAAAAATTCTGTCACTTGCGTGTTATTTTCGCACTTTATGCGGTTTGTTATTTTTTGATTTAATGGTATAGTTATTGTTCCTTCTTGGATTTTGGAATGTTATGTCTATTACATTTAATAGTTTGTCGTTTTTACATCTCAACTCTACGACTTTTCATATTGTTAATTTATGAGGAATCAATAGATTTTCTTTCCGAAAGAGCCCTTAAGGAGAGATGCGAGATTCCAACTTATATAGAGGTAGATAAGACTGTGTTTAACCGATGTGGGACTTCAATGAGGCTTGATGAATGATAAGATTAGACTAGAAGTGTGTTGAGTTTTTGGGTTGTGATACCATGTGAGATATTGGAGTCTCACCTCTCTTCCTAAGGGATCTTTTGTATAGAAATTCAAGGACTCCACAATCCACATATATCACAATATGATTACATGTGTTTTTGTTCTTTTTGTTTTAGCTGCAATAACATTGTAACAAGGGTTTGGGGGCAGCGTATCTGGGTTAAAGATATTTGATGTTTGAAAAGCATTTTTCTTGTCGTTTTAACAACCCTGTCATAACAAATTTAACATCTCTTGCACTATTTAACACGATTTTAAATGTTAACATAACATTTGTTTCTGTTCATGAAATCAAAATCCTCAAGATCAGGTATTTTGTTAATTTCAACTTTAAATAAAACCTCAATTATGTATATTGAAATATACCAGATCTTTTTGGAAATTGGTAACTGTTCTCCATAACTCATACCTTATATGATGTTTTGCATATTATGTCTTCTCTTTGCAAATCTGGTTGGTTTATGTCTTTCCATATAATGTCAGGGCTTCTAGTATTATCTCAATACTCGTCTACACTAATTTAAGCAAGTTAATCATTTAATATCTACTTTGTAGTTTCATTACAAATTTTCTCTTTATTGAATGAGTCTTATTGGTTTATAATCCCTTTGTGATCTTCTTAAATATCTTTAAGCTTTTTTGACCAAGTAAATTCATTATGTAGGAATCCAAAACAGACAATGTCTCCAGCATCAAAGTCAAAGTCAAAGGACAAAAGGGCAGCTGCCAAGGACCCACCAAAATCATCCAATAAAACCACCTCAACTCCAACTTCCGGTGGCGGCACCGCCGCCAACGGCTACAACCCCCTTCTCGGAACCTTCCATGCACTCGATATAAACAACACAGACGATCATACCCAAAATGCCCTTGGAGTCGAATACGACTCCTTATCCAACAACGGAAGCTGGTCCGGCGAATCCGAAGACCACAAAGACAAAACCTCCGGCACCCCCTCCCGCCATGAACCACCGCCACCGCCAGGTGTCGACAACGATAAACGCGAAAAAATCCGCCAAAAAAACGAAAAAAAACATCAACGACAAAAAGAAAGACGCGCCCAAGAACTTCATGAAAGATGCAGCGGTTATCTAATGTCAAGAAAGCTCGAAGCATTAGCTCAACAGTTAGTTTCAATGGGGTTTTCTTCAGAACGTGCAACCATGGCTCTTATTTTAAATGAAGGCCGAGTCGAACAATCCGTCGCGTGGCTGTTCGACGGCGGTGAAGACTCCGACCACCGCGCCGCCGCCTCCGGCGGCGGCCACCTCAAAATCGACATATCCGAGGAGCTCGCCAGGATCACAGAAATGGAAACAAAATTTAAATGCTCAAAACAGGAAGTCGAACGGGCGGTTGTCGCCTGTGAAGGCGACCTCGACCAGGCGGCAGAAACCTTAAAATCTCAAAAACACGAACCACCTGCCGCCCCGAAAGTTGAAGAATCCGGCGAACCACCTGCCGAACCGCCGAAGGCCGCCCCTACAACTTCACGAACGTTATTAAAACCGCAGAAAAGTGAAGATAAAGATTTTAATTATACAAAAACGGTGAATATCGGGCCGCCAGCTGGCGACCCTGGAGTGAAAAGCTTGCAGTTGTTGAAAAAAATTCCGGCGAGCTCCGAGAAGCGGTGGCCGGTGGCGGTTTCCGGAGCAAACCCTCCGCAGCCACCGAAAACCGAACTGAAAAGCCTCCAGCTCGGGTCAGTAAGGGAACCGGTTATTGTAATGCAGAGGCCTAAATCAAAACCTATACCTACAGTAAGCTCGTCATCCTCCGAGTGGCACCCTACAGTAACTAACATGAACCCTAACGGATTCTCACATAGCATGCCCAGTTACGGGACAAGTGTCAACACACAATTGTACGATCAGTTTCACTACCCGCACCAGCACGCGGTGGATAATCATCATTTTAGTCAACAAAACGGGATTAGCCATAACCATTTTAACAACTGTGGTATCTGGAATAGAATGGGCGGTGTAAGTGGTGGCACCACCACTCCGCCGCTAGCTGCCGCCTCGTCTCTCGGGCTTTTCACCGGATCAAACGGATCTTCCGGGCCGTCGTCTCCGGTGGACTGGAATGCCGGCGACTCGGTGCAGTTCGATTACACAAACATTGACTGGAGTTTGGATCGGATTCCGGCGAGGCCGAATGGGATGTGGATGAATTTGGGGTCGGCGGGGAACGGTGGTGAGTTTTATTCGTCCGGGAAGGCTGCCACGAGACCGCCGGGGTTGCATCCGGAGGTGGCGGTGGCGGTGGGTTCTGAAGCGGCGGCTGGTGGCGGCGGCGGTGGTCGTGAATGGAGTTCTCCGTTTGAAGAGAAAGAGTTGTTCAGTTTCCCGAGACAGTTTGTGTCTTCACCCTCGCTGTAATGAGAGTGGAAAAAAAGGGTAAACAAATAATAAAATGTGATAGGGGGAATGGGATGATGAAAAAACAATAAGAAAACAGAAACTTGAAAAACATGTGTTGGGATTTAAATGTTTCTATTGGTTTTTTCATTAACTGCTTCTTGTTTGTGTGTGTGTGTGTGTGTGTTTTGGGGTACTTGAAGTTGAAATTAACAAATCGAGAGCAATTGATGCTATAATAACTTGTACATTGTGCATTATGAGCTGTACATTGCTCGTGATTTGCAAATTTTGGCAAGCTTATTGGGTGTTTTTGTTTATAAGTCTCATGAAAATGAAACTGACAAACTGTTAGCGAAAAAGTTGATTGCTACAAAGAGATGCAATTGGGGTCTTTTAGTTGCTTTTTCCAAAGTGTTATGTCTAATATTATTATGAGTATAAAGTGAAACTTGTAACGTTTTGATGCTTGTAAGTTTTTTGTTATATATGGTTATTAATAAAAAAAAGTATTAAAACATTACGGTTATTATGGGTAAGACATGAACCAAACAATGGATCGCCTTGTTTTTCGGTTTACTTGAACACCCCTACCCACATTTATAGATAAAGATAGAAAAAATACACCCCTACCCACATTTATAGAAAAAGATAAAAAAAATGATTTTATACAACAATTAACTATCACTTTTGTACACATTTAGTACATATTTAGTCGGAGTGGATCTAAACATATTTTGGACTTGATGCAAAAGAGATAAAAGAACATCAAAGGGGTAAATTTTATGAAGTACATACTGATTATGTTAACAAATATAACTAGTAAGTAGTGAATAAAAAAAAAAAAAAAAAACATCATAAGATTGTAGTTGTCAAGCTGATATAGATTTTTTTTGCGGTTTTTCTTGAAACTTTGAAAATCATTATCATGATAAATAAGCAATAAAACTACAAATTAACCCCCATATATATATATATATATATATATATATATATATATATATATATATATATATATATATAGAGAGAGAGAGAGAGAGAGAGAGAGCTAGGTTCAAATGTTTTTAGCAACTATTGTGTGCCTAAATGCACCAATGAGAATTCAAGAAATAATAAATCATTAAATAAATCATTAAAGGATATTTTGGACCTTTTGTACTTTTAATTAAGGAAATCATTTAATTGAAATATTGGAATTAAGGAAATACAGTAAATATATTTGACCTAGCTCGTATCAAGCACCACCGTCGTACATATAAACTTTTTTTTTATTCTTTTTTCGTAATCGATCGACCATAAAGACTATGTTGGAGTCATGTTCCTTTTTCTTTGTGTTTCACTGCTGTGAAAAACCACCACCGAAGGGTGGTGGTGTTGCTGAAGAAGGAATTGCATAGACTTGTGAAAGCGATTATTGAAGATTCATCATCGGAGGATGAAAATGGATTTGGATGTATTGACAGAGGGAAACAACGATCGTCTTCGATTTGGGCTTCTTGTCCCCAGGAATTTCGTTGCCCCTGTCTAAAGAACTCATGAGAGATCCTGTTATCCTCTCTACTATCCTCTCTACTGGTCAGGTAGTTGTTCTATTCAATTTCTCTATTCCATTGGTTTTGTGTGTGTTGTTATTTTCACTTTTTTTGTGAATATGTCGACGAGTTCTTGCTGTGGATGTGTTAGATTAATGTCTATTTTACGATAATATTCTTATTTCACTGAAATCAGACTAAATTTTATGGTGAAATCCATTGATTATTTGAAATCGAGTTCTTCGCAAAAATTGATTTGTTGAAATCGATTTTATTTGCTTCTCTTCTCATCTGTGAAATCCATTGATTATTTGAAATCGATTTTTTAATGTAATACTTTCTAATTGATTTGGAATATGAATTTTTGTAGGATACAAAATTGCTGCAAGCATTTATCTGTAACTATGTGTGTTTATATTATATGAAATGTTTGACTAATGTGTAACAACTAATAGAATATGTGATAATACAGTGTGTGCCTAAAAGGTGTTCGATGAAATGTCGATTAGAAGTATGGTGTTTCATTGTACAATCTATATATGGGTAACAACACACGTCGTCATCCTTATTTCTCCTCCATCGTCTCCCACTTGGTAGCCAGATGTTCATCATCTCGCTGCCATAACTCTCCAGTCGGACCAACAAGTATTTTTGTTTAACTGGTAATGCATTCTAGCAGAATTACGAGTAATGCATGTTATTAGAATAACAATAGTATATTCTAGCAGAATAACTAGTAATACATGTTGTTAGAATAAATTACAATTGTTTGATGTCTACTACATTCTATCAGAATTTACAGTTGTTATTCTTTTAGAATGCTCCAAATTTTTTAATATTTGAAAGTTGATTATGTTTTTTTTTTTTTTTTGTGGATTTAGGTTTTGAAGAGACTGAATTCGATTTCAATCTCTCCTTATTTGTCAAGATAGGAAAAGTAAAAAACATCGCAAGATAGGAAAAATGAAATACATTCTGTTAGAATCTGGTCATGTGGTATGTATTCTGTCTAAACTCTTAGAATGTCTATTATTCTGGCAGAATTCGATTTCAATCTCCTTATTTGTCAAGATAGGAAAAGTAAAAAAAATTGCAAGATAGGAAAAATGAAATACATTCTGTTAGAATATGCTATCATTCTATATTATATAGTTTCTATAAAATAAGTAATGTTTGTATTCTGTCAGAATTTATTTGTATAAATGCATTCTGTTAGAATGTCTTGTGAGAATGTTTGTTAACAACAAGTACATTAGCTTCATTGGTAATACTAACGAATAATGCATCTTATTCTTTCAGAATGGCTTTGAAGAATGAATTCAATATTGATCATACAAGAGAAAGATTTGGAATCGAGGTCAACAACAAGTATATTTTGTGAAGAATTACATTCTTACGAAAATATATCACATTTTCATCATAGTTTGAATCAAGTGCATTATTTGGACCATTGATGAAGATCATGTGTATTTGCTTAATAATTGTATATTTAAGAATGTTATTTCTTAATATTTTTATTCATTTTTGATGATATTCTGTTAGAATATGTATAACTATATTAAATTGTATAAGACTATTAGTTTGTAAGAATATGTATGATTTTGTATTCACGTTCAAATGTATATGAAGAATATATGTTGAATTTTTAAATCAGGTTAATTATCAAAAATATATGCATTGGAAATATATTCCGCAATAATAAAATTGAAAATATCTTTACTAATTAATGTTTGACATTCTGACAGAATAAAATCGGATTTTTAAATTTGAATTATTTTAAAATATTCAAAATTTAAAAAATAAAGGAATTCATTATCCCTAAAAATCCGAAAATTTCCTTTTTTAAGATAGGTTAATTGACTAAAATGCCCTTATGCTGGAATTTGTGTGATTATATGGTACATGTTACCCTATTGTGATATCACAGACCCTCAGATCATGATCTTTGATTCTATTCCATCCGGTGGTCCAGATTTGTGCATTCTGGCACACAATAGTTAGTAAAAACAAAATAACCTAACCCTATATATATATATATATATATATATATATATATATATATATATATATATATATATATATATAGAGAGAGAGAGAGAGAGAGAGAGAGAGGTTCATTTGAGACCACCTATATTTTGTGAGACATGGGGACCAAATCTTAGCCTTTGATCAAATTTGATCTTGTGGCTCATAAAAAAGGGATTAACACTAATTAATCTAACTGATTAGTTAATTAGGGGTAGATTAGTCACTAGGTTAAATTTAAGATGATCAGATATCATGTTAGCTTAATTTTCACGTCATCAAGAAATCATCTCATTTGTTCCGGTTTTCTACCAATTTATTCGATGAATCAACATTCCTTGTTCTTCAATTCAATTTGATCGATATTCTATCTCCAATCTTATATTCTTTCAACCGATAATCGATTTGATTTAGACATTGATCGAACGATGCTAAATCATAGCTTTTAAATTCGTGATTTTTGTGTTTTTCGAGTTCATGTTCTTGATTCTTCTACATCTGCAATTAATAATCTGAGTGATTGATGTTTATGTTCATGTATCGACATTAGCAATTCATTAGAAGATTTTGATCAATTTTAACTCTGTGATCATCGATTTCGGTAGAGGTTCAAGTGTTCAACGATTTCTGCTAATCTTCATCTTCAATAATTATTTACGATCTTTCAAGCTGTGAATTTTACTCAACATCATGAAATCGTCAATTGATCAAGGTTTGAGTTTTCATCGAGTTCACTGTTACTTGCATATAACATATTCAATTTTTAACCTAGTTCATGAATTGAATCATCAAGCTATTATCGATTTCTCCAATTTTATATTTGTATGATTTGTGATTTCAGCAATCAAACATCATCTGTTGTTGAGACATCCAATTCAGCAATCAAACATCATTTGTTGTTGAATTTGTTTGACCTAGAAAACAATTTAATCTATAATATGTTATTTGAAAATGCATCATCTATTTCATTGTTTGATTTTTAACTTTCATTCAATCATTATGTTTTTCAACAATATGTCATATGTTTTCTTTTGATTAACATCATCTATTTTCTTTTCATTAACATCATCTTAGTGATAAGTTCATGAGACTGCATGTTATATCTTATAGAATATTGTACATACATTTATATATCAATAATGATAATAGTTATGGATGATTTGGATATGCATGACATCGAAAACAATCATCTCGATGAAGAAAATCATCAGTTCGGTTCTAATGATTAAGAGATTCTTCATAACGATGAAAATCAATCGGAAATCCAAGGTAATTTTGTTAAATTTTACTTTATATCATGATTTGATCAATTGATCAAGGTTTGAGTTTTCATTGCTTTCATTGTTAGTTGCATATAACATATTCAATTTTTAACCTAGTAACAGTTATGGATGATTTAGATATGAATGACATCGGAAATGATCATTACGATGAAGAAAATCATCAATTCAGTTCTGGTGATTCAGAGATTCTGCATAATGATGAAAATCAATCGGAAATCCAAGGTAATTCTGTTACTGATATCGGTTATTCTTATAGAATGATGTTGGTGATAACTTCATGTTACTGCATATTATGCTTATAGAATAATGCACATATAACATTGTGGTTTTTTATGATTACAATCATATGAATACAAATTATTTTGATTATATGTTAACATGGTGGTATATTCTTTTTTGTAGTTCAAAGTGACAATGTTGCAGCACAATATGGCTCTTGCAAACAATTCATTTGAGCTGATGGTTCTTTATTTTGGATTCCAGAGGTTGAAGCTAGTTGGATACCTCCTATGGGTTCAATTTTTAAAGATATCAAAGATGCTATTAAGTGGTATAAAGGATATGCATTAAGATCTGGTTTTGATATTAGAAAATCAACAGAGAGGAAAAAGAATGGAATCACAACTTCGAAATATTTTATATGCAATAGAGGGGGATTGCCAAACACTTCTACCTTAGACACGATTAGTGATGATCATAACAAGCAATTGAGAAATAGTAATTGTAAACGCACAAATTGCAAAGCTTTTGTTGCATTCAAAGTTATACCCCATTCTTCAGAAGTTTACATGTGGCGCTTTGAACAACAGCACAACCACAAATTGATCAATCAAGATTGTATGCATCTTTCAAGAGCTAAACGTCAGTTGGATATTGTTGATCAAGCTTTTATACATAAGCTTTCGAGTGCAAAGGTGGGGGCAACTACAACATATAGGTTAATGTGCGTTATAAAAGGAGGATGTGAATTTGTTGGTGGACTAGAGATAGATTGGAAATATTTTACAAGGGATATAAATTGTCACATCGGGGGCACTGATGCAAATTTGTTGATTACAAAGCTTCAGAATCGTAAAGAGAATGTTACAAATTTTACATACGAATACAGATGTGACAAGAAGCAGTTAAATGCTCTCTTCTGGGCCGATGACACTTCAAAACAAAACTGAGTTATTTGGGGACGTTGTTTCATTTGACGCAACATATCGTACAAACATGTATTTATTCTATAATTATAAACATTTTTTAGTTGTATATTCTAATGGTCTTTTTTTTGTGTTTTTTAGGTATTCTATGGTATTTGTACCTTTTACTGGCATTGATAATCACAAAAGGTGTGTCACATTTGGAGCTGGTTTGTTGTGTAGAGAAGATACAAATTCCTATATTTGGTTACTTCGGTCATTCTTGAAGTGTTTTGAAAAGCACCAATCATGGTTGTGACTGCTCAAGATCCAACAATGAAAAAAGCTATTGAGATAGTATTGCCACACACAAAACATAGATCTTGTATGTGGCATATCACAAGTAAACTTCCATTGAAGGTGATAACATTATTGTTTTATTCTTATCAATATAAATATGACATTATTTTCAATATAAATATGACATTATTGTTATATTTTTATCAGAATATTAAAATGAAATATTTTTTGTAATTAGAATAATATATTAAATGAAATGCCTTTTTATACTGTATTATATTCTTATCAGAATATTAAATGAAATATTTTTTTTGTAATTAGAATAATATATTAAATGAAATGCCTTTTTATACTGTATTATATTCTAACAGAATAATATATGAATTGTTTTTGAAGGTAAGCTGGGAATCAGATTTTAAGGCGGACTTCAATAGTATAGTATGGGACTCCAAAATTGTTGTGAAAGATTTTGAAATGAGATGGGATGCATTAATGGTAAAATATAAGTTACAAGACAATAAATGGATGAAAGATATGTTTGATTTGAGAAGCAGTTGGATTCCAGCCTATTTTAAAGATGTACCAATGTCGGGTCTAATGAGAACAACTTCTCGGTCGGAAAGTGAGAATTCAGCATTCAATAGGGTATCGCATCATGATTATACGTTAAACAATTTCATGAATGCTTTTGAGTCTATTATGGAAAGGCAAAGGAATAGTCAGATCAAATTTTATTTTGATACATCTACTATAATTCCAATCATCAAAACACCTCTTGAAGATATGGAGAAACATGCATCTATGGTATACACCAGGGCTATTTTTCTCATGGTGCAGAGGGAGATTCTTCATTCACTTGTTTCTTGTTCACAGAAGAGTGTTACTTCAGGTGTTGTTTCCGACATATGCATTGTCAAACATAAAACGACAAATTTATCAAAGAAGAAGATAGTAGTTGAAAAAAAAAGTTGACATCGATTGTGAATGGAATTTTAACACAAGTGAAGGTGATTTCGAGGTAATGTTGACATTTTATAATTCTAATATTATAATTTTGATTACTAAATTATTGTCTTTAATTTTTTTATATTATTCTAATTTTTCTTTTTAGAATATACTTAATATTCTAATACTTTGGAAAACTATTCTAATTTTTCTTTTTTTAATATACTTAATATCCTAATACTTTTGAAACAGGTTGAATTCAATAGAGAAGATCTAACGGTGAAATGTTCATGCATGCTTTTTGAGCGTTTTGGAATTTTTTGTAGACACATCTTCTGCATTCTAAAGATTTATGAAATACAAGAGATTCCGTCAAGATACATTCTTAAGAGATGGAGAAGAGATATTATCCCCACCACAATTTTGAAAAGGACTGTTAGATATGGTGATTCATCTGGAAATGTTGAGAAGGTTGCATACAAAGCATTTTTCATGCTTGATCAATGCATGTATTCATTAAGTAATGATGACAAGAAGTTAGAAGAGTTCATGCAAAAACTAGAAGTTTTTATGACTGATATTGGTGAACAAGGTTCAGGCAAATCACCAGTTACAAAAGAAGCTCACATTGATAAACTTTACGGAGCTACTACGAATCCTGAAGTTGTTGATGTTGAAAATCCACCTATGGTGAAGAATAAAGGTTCTGGTACAGGAAAACGTTTAAAAAGTGTTTTGGAGAAGGCTACTATTCAAGGTAACAAGCAATCAAGATCATGCAAAAGATGTGGGGTTAAAGGGCATAATTCAAGGAAATGTTTGACATTGTTGAATAACTCCAAGGTACAAAGTGCATAGTTGTGTCTAGAAATATATTTCGATTTTTTTCGTATTTCAATAAAGTTCAATAATACCATATAGATAAAAGTTTGAATTTCTTTAGTTTGGACATTTTTTAGATGTTTTGGTTTGTGATGATGTATGAGACATTTGGTTTGTGATGATGTGTGATATATTTGAAAACATATTGATTCTTCTAATATTTTCAATCTTTAATTTTTGCATTGAAGTATATACGAATGATTGCGGTATAATGTTTTGTTATCAAATTATTATAATACAAGATTATACATGTAAGAATGTTATATAGGTATATGCAACATCTAATATTATTCTAATAGAAAACTGATGTCATTATACATTATTCTATTAGAATATTCTACCATGACCATTAAGAAGTGATCATAATACCAACTATACATTAAGCATTAATCACCTAATAAACCATATCAAGTTTCATACATAATACTAGGCATCATTTTTTGTCTAATTTGTTCAAAATAAGATAGATATTACAAAAGGGATTGTTTGTTAAGTCACCATAACCACGTTTATAAAATTCCAAACTTCTATCAAATTCTATTTATTACCCATTTCCAGTTCATTCATTCTATTGATACCTTCCTCTAACATCTTTTTTCTAGTCGCATGATCAAATTTTCCAAATTCGATTGCCTCTTTGATAACTCTCTCCTTGTGGTTGTTGATTTCATGTGTAGCAATCTTAACATAATATAAGGCACGTAATTTTACAAATTGCACATCTTGCACATCACTTCCTTTTTCCATTTCCACATTCCACTTTCCTTGCTTTTCTCCACAATATTTTTCCATTTGTCTCATTAAAAGTGCTCCATTCTTTGTTGTTAACTTCTTTGTGTTCCAGTCAATTTTCATCATCTTCACTGTTGTTGATCGCAAACCTTTGATTTTATTGACGATAAATGTAGTTTTCTCCAGATATCGTATAAAGTACAATTTCTGCAATGTATATTAACAAAATTACATTATTCAATCTATTATATTGTAACTGTAATACATTTAATAAAAGTAAATGAAAACTTACTAATTATGTAGGTGTCATTCCATAAGTTTCTTCTAACGATTTTGTTTTTATGCTGTCTATAATATGAACTTGTGGATATGTTAGGTTGAAAACAACAGCATACATCTGATCACCGTTATGTATTGGGAAAACCACCTGCAATTCCAACAAATTGATCAAAAAGTTAACATAATTCCTATCCTTTAATAATGTAATATTTTAATTAATAAATAATTCTTACGAGTTTAAGATCATTGAAATCTACATCTGCCTTGAAATTAGATAGAAAGTTATCAACACGAGTCTCAAAAGTTAAAAAATGCTCGTCAAAATATTTAGTTTCATCTAATAACTCAGAACTCTGTAAACATAGAAAAACAGAAAAATTAGAATATATTGTTATAATTTATAACTAAAATATAAAATTTCCAATTGTAAAAGAATTTACCATAATTTTGGTATTGAAGAACAGGCGGTATGGTTTACTTTTTGACTTTTGTTCCTCGTAATTTAGAACAGCAGCCCAAGAATCAATCACACGATGATGTATAACATGTTTAGGCCGCATGCTCTCAAAATCTTGTCTATGCATAATCTCTCCCGTATTTGTTTCAAAAAGTAGCTCCCTTAATTTTAAACATGAACAAAAAATATGTCATCAACATTAGAATAAATATCCACATATATTATAGTTAAACAACAATTCAAAAAAATAATACATGTTTAATTGAAATAGCAAGAGTTAGTGACTTACATTCTATTTTTATCCTGTGCACATCTTATTAGAACCTGAATCAAAAGAACATTCTGCAAATCGATTCTATCAAATAACTTCACAACTTTATCCATATATGGTGATTTGTAAGAACTTATATCATTCTCCCCCGTGTCACCATTTTGAGATTCAACCCTTTCATGTGATCCCTTTTTTTTCGTTTTCATTGTTTTGATTATCAGCACTTGAAAAAATAGGATCTGAAAATAACTCAATGAACTTCTCTTTCAATTCATTTGTTATATTGACATCTGGGAACTTTGATATACAATCAGAAACAATTCCATACATGTCCTCCTTTCTTGATGAAACTTTATTGAACATCTTATCAAAGTTCTCTTTATATTCCTGAAAAATAATAAAATACTATAATTATAAGCATGTAATATTTTATCATCTCAGAATATCTAGAATATTTAATATAAACCATAAGCATGTAATATAAGAATATCCAGAATTTTTTATAACATCATACTTTAACCTAATATAAAAAGAAATTATATTTTATATTTTAGTTAAAGTTACCTCAACAGTGTCATAAAGATTGTCTTTCACATTGGACGGTCCCTCGCTATCTCTCATCATTTGTGTGAAAACAACTTTTCCACATCCAAACCCACCATCTTCAATTTCAAAAGACTGCATGTTATTCAAATTATCTGTTGACCACATTGTTATTGTTGGAATTTTTCACTTTAAGATTAAACGCTGACATTCAAGACCGTCACAGTAAAGTAGCTGCATGATAGTAGTTTTGTAAATTGTATTAGATATTCATAAATAAAAAATAATTAAAATAATTAAACAAAAAGCATACCATCAATAACAACATTGGCCCATTATAATAACATTTCTTTTTATCTTGATGCCGTAGAGATCTTGTATTCTTTAGACAGTAATTTAAGTACGCACACCAATTAATGCATGAGATGTCTTCAACAACAACTACTCTTCTAACAGGATCTATGTTGCACGTCCCATAAGAATGTGATTCAGCAAACGTATTCACAAACAAAGAAAGAAAATTTAGCTTGAAGATATCATCATCTCTTTTGGATTTCAGTTATGATCCATAAGCAATTCATGTCAAACATAGGCTATGAAAATTATTGTTAGAAACACTCTAATATTTCTATTGTTCCATAATATTGGAATTATAAAGTATAAAATCATATTTCAGAAAAAAAAAGTTTAGATTATTTTACCCATTGACTGTGTATCTGATTCTGTCTCTGATTCTGTTGAAGAATCAGAAACATGCTTTTTCTTTTTGTGCTTCACATCATTATGGATTAATTTGCTGTGGCGCTTGAAATGTTTTTTGACTTTTCTTTTTTTCTTTTTATTTACTTTATCTGCATCAATAATTATTCTATTAGAAGAATGTAATATACTTTTATTGGATGTCACCATATATATTATAAAAGACAACATATTTTACCATATTCATCACTCTCTGTTGTGGATGTCTCTGACTCTGATGTCTCTGACTGTGAAGATGAAGAATCTGAAACATAGTGTCTTTTTTTCTTTTCAAGTCTTTTCTTCTTTTTTGTAATTTTAGCTGTATGAAGAAATTTAAAAATTGAAATAAATTAGAATATTTATTTTAATCAATTTGAATGTTCATAATAATCAACTGAAAAAAATAAATCCAAAAAATTTCTTTTGTTAAGTATTTTAAAGAATGATTGTTGATACCTTTTTAATTCTTTTTCTATGCTGTGAGGATGAATCAGAAGAAGAATCAGAGTCGCTTTCAGACGTAACAACAGTTTTTTTTTTAATTTTTTTCTTTGATTTTCCTTCATCTGCCTTCTTTTTCTTTTGATTTACAATTTGCAAATCTTTATCATGAAATTTAACAATTAAAATCAATTAGAATATATGATAAACAAAATTAGAATATTCAGAATAATTAACTTAAAAAAATAAATCCAAACATTTGTTTTTTATGAATTATTTGAAAGAAAGTGTGTTCATACCTTTTTTAACCCTATCTTGATCCCCTGAATCTGTGTGAAGAAAATTATCAAATAAAAACAATTAGAATATTTATTAAAAGCATTTAGAAGTTACTAAAAGCAATTATAATATTTAATCTAAAAGTAATTACAATTTATACCTTTATCTATATAAATTTCTTTCATTGTTTTCTTGCAGTTGCATTTGTTTGCACTTTTTTAGCTGCATCAATAACAACAAATTCCATTAGAATTCATATTAGTTGAGGATATATAATCTGGTCACAGTTCTATAAATACATAACAACAAATTTCTAATATCAATCAACATAAAATTCACTAGAATACAAAGATTTTTTTTGGCTAAACACTATACTACAATCATAAGAAGAGATTTATGTTACCAAAATCTATAGTATTAGACAATTTATGGGTCTAAATCTAATTAAATGATGAACAATTAGTTAGAATAACATAACATATTTGCTGATTTTGATTAAGAATATTTAGATCAAATGAAATGAGGAATAATTAGAACACTTTTGAATAACATGTAGAGTTAACATTTAGTTACATAGACTCTATATAAATCACACACTGAGATTTAGGTTTAGATTGTATGTTTTATAATGCTATATTCCATTACATCCTGACTTCGACATATAAATCGCTAGTGAAATATCTCGATTATTAGACATTTATTGAAGATACACAACGATTTAAAGTGAAAAAACTTTCTATAATAAGAACAGATAGGTTTATTGAATAAGAACAAGAGGTTTATAGTATTTACTTACTTGGAATAGCTGTTGATACAAAATCAGAATCCGAATCTGTAGAATGAGCCATTTGATTCGATATCAAATTCAAATCAAAAGGTTTTTAATGTTCTAGTTGATTATCGAGGGTTTTCTTGAATCCGAAGATGAATTCCAGGTATAATGAGAATAAGGAGTCTGAAACAATGATCGAGATTTGGAAGCAGAACGATGATCGAGATTTGGATCAAATGAGTTTTAGTGTTTGCATCTAGGGTTTTTAGGAAGAATACCGGGTGTTTTTGTGTGTTGAATGAAAAAGAATGCAAAATTCCATTCATGCCCCTCCGTGTCTTGATCTAATCCCAAAGTTCCATTAATTTACAAAATTGTCACCGCCTATTTTATGGTTTAATCTAAATTAATATCAGCCTTTGATTATTCAAGATGAGTGGTCAAGATTTGGTCTCCCCGTCTCACAAAATCTAGTGGTCTCACATGAACCTAACCCTATATATATATATATATATATATATATATATATATATATATATATATATATATATATATATATAATAAGAACCTTTAAAGGTTAAGAATGATGTAAGAACCACTTTCATTAAGGATATTTTTGTAATATTAACATTAAAAAAAAACATCCATCATATTCATATTAGTTTCAAATAATTTAATCATTGACAAAATAATAAATCAAATCATATTTGTAAATTGAAATCGTAACTTACGTAACTTTCAAAAATTTATTCCACAATTTTGTTTTTTATGTATTATAATAATGTTAAAGGCCCTACAATCTTTTACTTCCAGCAACAGTGAATCATCGAAGGAGTTATTTGCTATTTTAGTGTAAAAACTTTTTAACTCTCAAACTTTCCAATTTTCAAACACAACCACCTTGCCTTCTGTCGCTTCCTCCGCTACCACTTTCAATGGCCACATGATCTACGGAAATTGTCAGTTCCGCCGCTGCCTTTCCTCCATTGGTACTCCAGCGAACCAGTGTCGTCGACGACGTTAAACCATCACCAGATTTGCAGCCATCGTTGTCAGCTACCGCCAACACCTCCGACGTGAGCCTTCTACACCTTCAGATTTGTGATTTTTGCTTCGTCTTCGACCACTTTCGGACCTTCAACCTCGCCAAAACACCGGAAAATGCCGCATTTCGCCTTTCCATATGATCTCTGGTGCTATAACACTGAAGACCGTCTCCAGATTTACAGCTTCGGTGAACTGATGTCGTCGATAACCTCAAATCACCACCATATCAGTAACCATCGTTTCCAACTACCACCATTACCGCCGACGTCGACTTTATACATCTTGAGATCTATTATTTGTACTTTGTCTCTGACCAGAATCATACCGACGACCTTGCCAAAACTTCAGAAACGTCGCATGTCACATATCTTTCTGATCTGCGGTTGTTTGGCATGTCAAACCTAACAAATAAAGGGGTACACAATGACTCCAAGAACACTTTTACTTTGCACTAAAAATGTAATACAAGATAAGCACGGTCGATCCAAAGAGACACAGAACAAATACTTATACCCTTTTTGCGTAAGGTACAAATGTGGTCACAAAAGTGGGGGGGGGGGGGTATATGCACTGATTTAAGCAAAAGACTAAAGTAATAAGCAAATAATTGATTAAATAAGATAAATTCAAGATTTGTAAGTACTCCAACTCTATGCAAGACAAATTAGTAATGTGATTCCATGGGCGAAATGATATTTGTTCAATTTTATCTAACTTGGTACTTGGAAATGCTAACTAGCTCTAACACTTCCCATTCATCACATTGATTAACCAAAATAAGCTATTTGATTAATCCTAACCTTACCAATCTAATCTAAACAAGCTCTTAGATTTAGGTTGAAGGATTGCATTAAACTTTATGTGAATGTTCCCAACAACATTCAATACTCCTCACAAGCCCGGGAGCATAAGAATGTGTGAATAAGATTTACACAAAATTCATTTAATAGAAATCAATTTAGTGCTTGTTACCTAGTCCAATTTATAAAACAATTACGGATTTTGCAGTTAGATAACTTGAATGACCTAATCCTAATTCAAATGACCAATAAGAATCACAATTAAATCAAACATTCAATTGAAATGAAACCAAATTCACTAGATAGAAATCAAAAACAAACATCAAGTCACATGATTGGAATCACTCCCAAATGTCAAGACATAAAGTTGGAGAGTCTAGAGTTCTAGCCACATATGACTAGAACAAGAACACAAATGTAGAAAATGAAGTTAAAGTTCTTACAAGATGAAATCCAAATAAAATCCAAGTGTTAATTGACTCCGAAATCCTCCAGAAAATCGCCCACAAAGTTCCCAAAATCGACAGAACCCATTATGAAATCGGTTACACCTTTTAAAAGAGAAGAAAAACTGCTTTTTAACCCACAACCAAGTTTATATGGCCCGCGTAAATTAACACTGTCGTTTACGCAGCCCGTGTAAACGCAAAAAGTAGAATGCGCAAACTGCCTTTGTAGATTCAAATCAGCGGCCCGCGTAAACTCATGCCTTACGTTTACACGACCGTGTAAATCCCTGAATGGCTGCAATTTTCAATTCTTCAACATCTTCCTTCCCGGTGCTCGGCAAGTCATGAAATCTTGTCCTCATCTTTTATTCACCTCCCTAAGCGAGATCCCACCTCCAAAAGTCCCTGAAATATCACAAAAATGTGCGAGTGAAATAGTATCATGGAAAATTCCGGAAAACATGTAAAATGCATGAGTTTAAGCCTAGATACAATGCATTTTTATGAAATAAAGCTACAAAATGGGTGCATGAAATGCACCTAACAAATATCCCCAAGCTTGAACCTTTCTTGTCCCCAAGAAAAAACAAGAAAAATTTAGACCGGAAAGAACAAAAGAACGAAGAACAAAAAAAATTCAAGATCCAAACTTTTGAAACTTAATGCTATAACCAAAACAAACATGAAAGAGATCCAACCCAATTAACCTCATTTTTGTAGCATAGTTGAAAATGTACTTGTCATGCCTTGAGTCGACTTGGCATTAGTCCCATAATATTATATATAACAGTAAAAACAAGACTTTTGGCCATTCCCTAATGCAACTCAACAGAATAAAAAGTCACAAATCTTGTTCACTCTTACTAGTATTGAGTCAGCGCATGGAACAAATTATGGTCTTACTCTCATGAAAACACATGTGATGAAAAATATGCTCAACCATCTTTATTTTACAAAATATGACAATGACCGACTCCAGCTATTTGCTGTTAAACAATCTTTTTCTAAAAATTCCCTAATATTTACCCTGATTGGTTACATATTTCAAACCACTTACACCAGTCAAAGTAGTTAACAGTCAGTCCCAATGTCATAAGTTCAAGTCCAAGTCCAAGGGGATCTTTTGGCAGCCAAGCATTTTTCCTAACTTGAGTACATACAGTGATGCACATTATTCAATTAAACTATGACATATATATATATATATATATATATATATATATATATATATATATATATATATATATATATATATATATATATATATATACTATTTAATTATATTTTCCTACAAATAAAGCTCATGGCTATCTTTGAAATCCATGTAACGGACTTCCAACCAACACATACAAACCAGATGACCTTAGTGTGCTAGATTTAAAGAGATCCCTCGGGTTTACTTGTCCGAACCTCAAAGGCCACAGAGTAGCTTTATTTAAATACCTATACATATCTATGTATATTTTTTTGTTATTATTAAGTTCATGACTTTCTGTGGAACCCGTGTAGCGAACTTTCAACTCAATCAGTCCCAAACAATTCAACTTTAGGCGATTAGATGTAGAACACCCCTCGGAGTTTACTCATTCGAGTTCCAAAGGTCATAGATTAACTTAATAATAATTTGTTTTAAAACAAACAAAATATAAGACAACACATAATACTCTTTTAATTTATTTACTAGGCTTATTTCTTTATAATTTCGTCATTGATTTGTCTATTACGGGGACATCTCACGGTCTATTACCGTGAGGGGCTTCTAAGACATTTTTTTCGGTGGACTAATGTCAACACGCAAAGGCCCGTAAGTATAGTTGGAAACTATGTCCCCAAGCAGGGTATTTAAAAGGTAATAGGCAGAAAGGACTTTTTAGAGTGCTGGGAGGCTCAGGCATTGAAATTTTATATTCTTTTTATGATTTCTTGAATTTGGCATTTTGGGTCCAATTGAGCACTTACTATTCATAAGACCGGTCACGTGTCCCAAAGGTTGACTCATACTTGTCATTATGCTTTGGTGTCGAAAACCTTTTATTTTCTGTTTTGCACGAGTAGCTTCGGGAGGTGTGTTCGTGTGTGATTAGCTTGCTTTGGGATTTTCTATGAAAAGAGCAAGTCTAATCTCAAGGCATACGACTCACTTACCAACTCAACCATTTTCAGAAGATTAGGTTGCCTTAAACTGGATCAAAAATAAACATAAAATAAAATATTTTGGAATTTAAACAATGTAAAAAAATGTGATGCAAAAATATTAAAATTAGGATAGAAAGAAAATCTTTTTGGTTTTGAAAATTTTAAAATGCAGAATACAAGAGAAAATGAAAATGAGAAAATTATTTTTTTTTAAATGAAATTAAATGCAATTTGTACAAAACTGCAACCTACATGCAACGAGATCCATTTACATGGATGAATGTCCATCCCCAAGCTTAAAATATAGCATCGTCCTCGATGCTCGAAGAGGGATAAACAATCTAATTATCAGGGGTTGATGGAGGATGGTAACTGGGTTGGGAATGGGTCCAAAATAGTCACAAATGCACACCAATTGGATTTTTAAGCAAAATATGAACGATTAAAGATATTGAAAGAATTTACCAAATCGTTCTTGGAGCCTTGCAATTGTGGTGAGAACCTCCTAATCATCCTCCCCAAGCTATCCGTGAAATATTTTTGGAGCCCAATATTCATTTTCCCCAGGTTGCCTCCCGGTTAGCCGCCTTTTTTTATAAAGTCGTTGGCTCGACATGACCCCTGGATATGCATCAATCTAAGTA